TTGTATACTCTTTATGTAATTACAAACAGTAGGGATTATCAATGTATAATTCTATATGCAAATACTAATAAAATCCTGTCGGCAATATAAGCCACCTTAAAAACAAAAAAAAAAAAAAAAATAATAGTAATTTGTTTTATGATTTCTTTTTAAAATCTAAAAAAATCTAAATATATATTATGATTTATTACTGTCAACTATGGATATAACAGAAATCTGAGTTGACAAAAAAATTCTGTTATATAGTATATTCGTTATATCTATATAATAGTATTAGGCTAGATTCTGTTATATGAATTTTTATATATAAAAATAAAATACTGTACTCAATAACCAATACGTATAGTATTGACTAATAAATTGTATATATAGTATCCAATTAACCTGCATATATATGTCTTCTAATTAACCTGAATATTTATTTATCTACGTAAAAAACACAGTTTTGTTTTTATTTTCAAATTAAAAACCTAAGAGTGATTTAGCAACCAAATAGGATATGTTAAATAAACTTATATTAGGTCTAATCATTATATTGGAAGTGTACGTGCTAGAGATTAAGCCCAGATATCATGATTAATTAATACTAATATCATTAGATTAATTATTAAGTTTATTCTTAAGAGAAATTTTATGGTCCATTCATCTCATAAACTATTATTGTTATGATATAATTTATCTTACGCTAAGAATACAAAGGATTAAAAACAAAATGAATATACAAAGAATATAAACAATAGACAAAAACCAGGTAAGGACTACTCGGATAACCTGTATAAGCATCTCCTAACTAGGTCCTAGTCATACTAACTGGAGGAGAAATTTTATACAGGCCTAATCTCTATTAAAGGGATGTTATATTGCTTGGCCAAACTCAGTTCATCTTTGTTTGAAACCTGAACTAGTTAAACTCGAGTTTTATAGTTACATGATTTCAAGTATGATATTTATGACCAATTATGTTTAAATTAAGTTCGAAATCAATTTTTTGATCAAAAGCTTCATGTTTAAACTTTTTTTTTAATGTATATTTTGCCTTTTTAATTAAAAAGTTAATTCCTATAGCATAATAAAGTTAATTTCATGACTATAAATACATGTGCTTCTTTTTTATTTGTTTATTTTTAATGTATCATAATAAGAAGTTAAAAAATACTAACAATGTTCGCGAAGAATATCTGACACTATTGAGGAGAATTGCAATCCCATGGACCTCTTGAAAATACGATTAGCTGATATACAAACTACAAGTATATCTAGTGAACAAATGTTCTCACAAGCCAAGAATACAATTAACCTAATATACAATTGAGAATGCTTGTGCAAACCTTTGTCTAAAAACATGGTAGAGTTAGATATAATTAATTATGTGGAAGGTCAATAACTAAATACAGTAGATTAAATTTAAAATTGCTTTGTAAATACGAATTTCATAGATTTTATTAACATATAACAGATAAGCATTGTTTAAGACTCTGTTTATTCACATATGTTTAAACAGAGTTCAAATAGGTTTTAAAGTACAAACTAACTATTTAAGCAAAATAATATCCCTAAACTACAACAATTGATTGTATGTTGCATAAATTTCAAATAAAGCTTTGGCAAAACTATTCACAAAAAGTAATCAAAATTCATAACAACTATTTACCACTAATTAAGTATGGCTATTTTATTAATTTATGAAGTGATTTCAATTGTATGTGTTTTATTAATAACACTTGAAAATAGTTCGTAGTGTAGTTTGAGATTGGAAAGACATTGGCAGTGCACTCTATGTTAATAAATAAATTCCCTTTTTATATCATTTTTAATAAGAGGTAAGCAGTTTTTTGAGTACATATACCTTCAGATTTTGAGCAATTCTCCAATCAATAATATAATTCCAAATTACTTCTTTCATTTATAAATCATCACAACTGATGAGCAAAATTTTATTTTATGATAAGTTTAATGTTTAAGGTTAATACATTAAATGATTATTTAATGAAGCAAAAAAAAAAAAAAGCCTGCATCTATTTTTTTATCACAGATAAGAAAAAAAAACTCTTCCTAAAATTTTTTGTTAAAAGCTATGTAGATTAGATATAATCACTAGAGTAATTCTTAATTAAAATGTATTAAAGAAAAAAAAAAAAGAACCAAAAAAAAAAAAAAGAATCAAAAAAAAAAGAAACTCAAAATTATCTAATCCTTACTGCAAAAAAAACTCAGTAATGTTAACCTGCTTTTTTTGAAGAGCAGAGTATCTTGAAACCTCTTTTTTCAACCTACGAACAGTATTTCTATCTTTATCAGTAACTATAAAATTGTCAGATTGCTATAAAAGATACATTTCAATTAAATCTAAAGCTTTCAAAGCATCATAATCTGTAATTTTAGGTACTGGTTCTAATATTTTTTCTTCAGTAGGATGGTCATCCTTACTCTTAATATTGTAGATTATATCATCATCAGATAGTATCTCAAAAGCAATATTAGTATCGACATCTACAAATTCTCTCACATCCATAGGATCATCGATTTTACTACTTACTGCTAAATTAATTATTAAAATATCAAGTTCATCGAATTCATTTTTTAACTCTAGCTCTAACTGCTGGCATGCCTGATCCCTTTCTGCCACTTGGTATCAAGGAAGAATACTCGTTTTTAGCCAAGAGTTTATAATTGTTTCCTGAGTAACATTGTCCCATGCATCTGAAGTAGCATTAATTGCATCAAGAATATTAAACTCATCGAGTGCAGAAGAACCTGTAGCCTTTATTTTGTCAAATGCATCAAGCTGATTTTTTACAAAAATGCTTTTATAATGGCATTTAAATGAATTGATAATGCCGGCATCACATGGCTGAAGGTGAGCAGTCGTATTTTTTAGTATCTTTTCAATATGAATATTGTTAAGTTCAACTTGTCGAATATAAGTAGTGCAACAATTTACAAAAAGAAGTATATAGCAGTTTTGGAGCCTCATTATTTTGTTAACATGCTCTAACCAGTTATTAAACATAGAGACCTGCATCCATGCAGTTTCATTCCAATAATACTAAACTGGTAATGTTTTTTTATTTAAATTTCGAATAGCGCATGAATTCTCAAATGTATGAATAAACACAGGGGGAGCTTTTCTGTTCCAGTTGTATTTGTTACAAACATCACAGTCACTCGTGCCTTATTTTTTTTATAACCTAAGACAAGACCATGTGCAAGGGTTTTTAATGGGTGCATTCTCTAATAAAGAGACGTTTCATCTGTATTCCAGATATTATCAAGCGTATACTCTTCACATATTGCTTGAAGACATTCTCTATGTTTATTTAGGGATTCTGTTGGCGAGGAACTAGCAGCCTTACCATTTCTAGTATACTGATGGAGGCCAAATTATTATTAAAAATTATTAATTCAACCAGTACCTTTAAAATCGGTAATGTTTAGGACTATGGCGAAGGTTTTGGCTTTAGTAAGTAGGGCAGTTTGATTTAAATCCATATTTGCTATGAGAGCACTTTCTACCCAAACACATATAGCTTCATTCAACTTGAGCTACTTTGGTTGATGATTGTGTTTACAGTTTGCCTTAGCTTGGTTGGTTGTATCGACGTTTAACTATTTAGAAGATTGTTTAAGAATATCAGATATGCATGTCTTTTTGATGCTATAATCTTTAGCAAGTTCAGTGTTCAGGATAGATAGAAACTTCTGCTTTTTTTCACAAATTTCTTTCTTTTCTTAAGCTGTGAGATACTTTCTTTTAACAGGTACTTCAACTTTAGTTATCATTTTTTATACAGTTAAATGAAACACGTGTATTAAAAATCTGCAATTTTTTTTTCTTAAAAAAAAAAAATCACCCCTGCATAAATTCTGCATATACTGTATCTATAGGGTATTTGATTTAGTAATTCAGTAATATTAGCAGACAGAGAATTAACAAAAAATATCTAGAAGTTCAATTGAGCTGTTAGAGTTATAAACTCTAGAGCCAATGGTCCTACTCAAGATTAAACCTTGGATATTTATTTGATAAGTTTTTTTTTTGTAAATTCTTTTTTTTAAATTTTTTTTTTTAAATTTTTTTTTTTAAATTTTTTTTTTTAATTTTTTTGTTTTAATTTTTTTGTTTAAATTTTTGGTGGGTATATTTAAAAATATGAAGAGAAAATGGATGTACTAGTAATTGTTATTTAAAAATCCAGATACAAATATTAAAGTTACTAGTGAAAGTGATACAGATATGAATATCAGAGTTGCTAATGCAAGTGAATATAATTATTCGTTCTTATAGTGGCCTATATTACACTATCGATAACGTTTTGATCATAATAAAAAAAAATTCTTTTCAAAGATTTTTTTTTTGCTTACAAAAAAAAAAATTAAAAAAAAATATTAGCAGTACTTGGAAAACCTGTGAAGAAAAATTCTTATCTTTTATAAGCACTATTCTGCATCTATTAGAGTGTTCAGGATTATAATCTAGCATAATATTCGCATAATTTACCTAATTACACATAATTTAAGAAACTCATATAACTACGTATAATTTTGATCCAATATTTGATATGATTATTGAAATTAAAAAGTAATACTGTAATCAAATAAGTTACAAGCTATAAATACTTTCATAAAATAGATCTTTATTCAGATATCCTAATTTATAGTTATATCACTATTGAAACTACAAAATTTAAAAAGTACAGTAGATTTATTAAGTTAAATTTGTAGACTTTAATAAAAGTCTAATTCCACCAATCTCTGATTTTACATAATCTAGTATCCATGTAACCACTTCTTGTTTAATTATATGATAATGTTCTACAATCTAATTGGCTGTTCGACAGGTATATTCATAGAACTGTTATACAAATAAATAAATCTTAATAAAATTAGAAAGTGAGCTGGCAAGAAGTTCTGTTATACGTAATACAGCTTTTTTGTTATTGAATTTGTTATATCCATTTTAAATTACTATTAAAAATTTGGTACCTTGAATTTAATCCATTAAACCCATAAATCCGAGATAAAGGTGTCCGTTATATCCATAGTTGATAGTAAAATAAAAAATCAAATCTTAGGATAATAGGAATAGCCACAGCCAGATCATCAAAAAAATATGCATAAACTAGATAATTTGTCTTAAATATACTAATTAATTATTTGTAATATATATTTGCTTACTAAATTAATATCAAATTGGTTTCATAGTTTTATCACTATGATTTGTAAAATAATCTATATACTACATATGCTATATATAACAATATGAAGTAAAGTCAGCAGAAATTATACAAAATTTTTTTTATTAATAAAATCTTTAACAAAAATTTTAGTCTAATATAAAACATTACTATACTTTATATACTACAATTTCTAATCTTAATTTGTTTAGTATTTTTATAAATTAAGACTTTTTTAAATAAAAATTAACTTTTTTCTTTTTTAAATAGATTAACTTGTTATATAAAAAATTAAGTATTATAAAAGAATTATGATCATATTTTTATATTTAATATTTTATACGTTTAATATAGTGAAGTATATAGAAACAAATTAATGCTAAGAATTTTGCTAGATTAGAACTTATATATTATTATCAAAAAAATTTTTTTATAAAGATAATATAACAAAAACATTAATTCTTGATTTACTTAATTTATTTTTCTTGTTTTATTATAACAAATAAAAAATTTTTATATCATTCTTAACTCATATTAAGATATTATATAGATGAAGATTTATTTAGCAAATATTAATATAAATTATTAATTATTACTTTATACTGTAAATTTAAATTTATTCTGTTATCAAATGAGTTTTAGTAATTTTATTTTTATTTTATATTTATTAATTAGTTATTCTTTATTTGTATTTTATA